TGGTGCTCTCGCCTCCCACCACACACATTACTGCAGCCACTCAGGATTTGTGGCTTTGGAGAATGATCTAAATGAATTTGATGTCCCAGAAAGAGGCACTTGAAAACTAAACCGGTGGGGTTTAATGGCAGCATTTTCCCCAGTTTTATGATAATGACTCTGGTGTTTATTGGCAGGTTAGCGACTCAGCCCAGCAGGAAAACAAAGCAATCGAGAGGCCAGCGCTGGGATGGGGCCTCTGCACCTTTGGGCATTAATGCTTGTACTGTCCATGACATTTTCGGGCCATTTGGGCTCTACAGCATGTCCATGTGGGAGTAGGGGAGGATGGGGGTGACATCAGCAGGCGTGAGGGGGTCCAGACTCTGCCCTCCTCCTCCAGGGTGCAGCACTGCAAACTCACCCAGCTTTGCTGACTGGGATCAGGGGTGAGTTTTGCTCCCATCCCACCCCAGGCAGTGCCTCGTGCACCCCAAGCCGGAGCAAAGCCGGTGCTGCCGAGGGCAGTTGACTCGGAGACGAGCACCTGAGGGAGCTGGTCCTGCACATCCCACCTGGAAAGGGGATGTGATGAAGCCCCTGCCTGGCTCCAGGAGGTCACTGGACAGGTTTCCCTCTGCTCCATCTCTGCCCACGCACCAAATTCCTGCCCTTCCCCTCCTTTTCTGGATTCACATCCCTGCTCCCTCCGGCATTACTTCAACCCTGCAGTGAGTGAAGTCTTAGAGGCAAGAAAAAGATACTCCCACATGTGTGGCTCAGCAACCCTGATGTTTTCCAACACCCATCCCACGGCTGAGCCCCTGGGGAATCAGGAGTGTTTTCGTGGAGCGGGGATGAGGCACTCGGTGAGCAGGACCCAAACAGGCTCAGTCCCTCGGGGGCTGCAGTGACAGCATCCCAGAAAATCCAAGGAATAACAACCTTTGCCATTTTCTTGCATCTAGAGAGTGTAATGAACCCAGACCAGGGAGTGATTTCTTCCCCCAGTGATTCAGAACGTGATTAAATGCTATTTCTCCGTTCCCCTGAAATAAAGGAGCTGTAACTGATACAAACAAATTACAGTTTCAAGCTGTGAGGCAGAAACACCTCAACTGCACAGACATCGGTGGCTCTGAAAAGAAAGAGGAAACACTGAGTGGCATTTCCTAGAGTTGCAGATCTTCATATTAAAGTGCTCTAAATTAATTATTTCACTCCTAAGAAACTACTAATTCCTCACTATTTTTAGCCTCATGCACTATTTTAAGTGATTTTTTTTTTTCCAGGGTCCAGTCACGTGGAAGTTAAACAGCAGGCAGTGAAGTCTCTAAAGGATAATAAACTATCTCAAATTACTTTGCTAATGGAACAAGGAGTGCTGTAAATGTCACACAGGATAGAACAAGAGCGGGAGAAACCTTTACATGAAACAATGGATCCATTAGCACCGAGCTGACAGGAAAAAGCCACAGACTCGTGATGCTTGTGCAGAGTTTCATGGAGTTGCTTCCCCAGGCCAAGGGAACTTGTTTCCTCACTGGAATTCTGCGCTGAGCTCACACCACAATCACCCACACTCCCAAGGCATCGACCCTTTAGGATTTCAAAGCCCTTTACAGACAATAATTGAGATAATAATTAAGCCCCAGCTGAGTCAGTGGAATTATTCCTGCTTCCAACCATGGAACGGATTGGGAATCACTGAATCACTGATGGGAGACCAAAACCAAACTGAGGTCCAGACCCACCAAACCCGCTAAGGGCTCCTCACCTCTCCAGCTTAATGAAGTTGTCCATCATCCTCCGAGCTGCAGGAATGACCCTCAAATTCTGCTGTGACTCACCCAGCTGTGGGGCCTGTCGGGTGAGAGGATGAGCTGTGAGGCACCGCTGCTTGTCCACCCCACCCTGTGTTTTGCCTGTCCCGCGGTTGGCAGGATATTGAGAATCTCCAAACACCTCAGGGGCTGCAGCAACGACATCGCAGAGTGATTTGGACGTGACATAAACGCCACCAAGGAATCGTGAGGAAACAGTCCCAGTGATGTGGGATGACAGCACTGCCTTAGGAAATCAGAAGAGAAAAAAAAATCTGAAAGGCAGGAAAAAGAGCAAGGGGGAAAAAAGCTGCCCTGGGCTGGCATCTGTAATGCAAGCAGATCCCTCAGCCCCCTCCAGTCCATGAGTCAGTTTTTCTCCTGGAAGTAATTTCCAACCCCAGCGAGTTAATACCCAGATGTGTGAAGTGCAGGGTAAATTTGGCCCTGCTCTGCAGTGTCTGCTGTGAGGAGAAAGGGTTGTGAGAGGCATCTTTCATTTGACAGCCCCGAGATCCCTCAAGCAGAGCCCACACAGCCCCCAGGAGCTCTCCTGTTTTCCTGGGATTTAATTAGGTGAGGCTCTCCAGCACACACTGCTACATGTGTGAGATGAGTGGAGGCTCAGAGGGGTGGAGGTGAGAACAAAATCCTTCTTCAAGTGAATCTGCACAGATCAAGGTTGAAAAGCCCTCAGCAACTAGCACCACCATTGTCACCCCTAACCCAAGCCCTCAGGTGCCACATGCTTGTGTTCTTTGAACACTTCCAGGGATGGTGACCCCAGCCCTGCCCTGGGCAGCCTGTTCCAATGCTTGACAACCTTTTCCATCAAGAAATTTCCCCTAATATCCAATTTAAACCTCTCCTGGAGCAACTCGAGGCCATTTCCTCTTGTCCTGTCTGTTGTTACCAGGCAGAAAGAAGCCCAAAGTTGCAATAAGTCCCAATGTCCCACATTCCACAGGCAATTCCTGCTGCTGGCTGTGATGTCCCTGTAGGTGGGAGATAGACACCTCCATAAAACCTAGCAGCAGACAAATCAAATGGAATTATTCAGAGCAGAGTGGTCGGGCTGGCAGAGCCTCAGCAGGGAGTGGAGAGCTCCGAGCTGCATTCCCAGCACTGTCAGTTCTGTGCTCTCCCACCTCTCCAAATTCCCAACTCTTGGCGTTGCCGGGTGGGGAAATAGTGATGGAAATGTGTCATGGCACAGCCAGGTCACCAGGCACTGTTTGCTGAGTGTTACACCAGGATGGGCTGGATTAAACACGGATCGAGTTCAGTCAGGGCTCAGCTCCACGGACTCTCCCGAGGCTCCCACCCTGCCCAGAGCATCCCAAGGGTCCAGCACCAGCTCTGCTCCCACAGGAACCCTGGGGCAGGAGCAGCCCATCAGCGTGAGCTCCCGGAATGGGACCCGAAAATGGAGCTCTGCCAGGGTCCTCATCCTGTTCTGGGAATCTGAAAGGCTAAATTTACTCCTTTCCTCTGAATTCCCATCCAGGGACTTCATTTTCTGTCAGCTGCACTTACCCTGCTCTCATCCCCCCAACAAGCTGCTGCTAAACTCCAATAATATTTATGGGTGCCTTAAAATACAGCTCTGCTTTCCAGCATGTGTCTCTGCAAAGATCCTGCTCCTCCTTGATCATCCTCCCCCTCTTCAAGGAATCACTGCTTTCCAGGGAAGATTGTATCACCAAATCATGTTTTTTTAGCAAATAAAGCTCTTGGAGGAAAATTCCCTCTTCAAATCCAAAGCTGTGCATCGTGCCTGTGGATTAATCAAAGAACTGGGGGGTGTGAATGCCCCTCCACGACTCAACTTTTAAATAGAAAAACATGGTTTTGGTTAAAAAACAGGTGGGCAAATAATATGGTTAATAATGTCAGTCTGGGATGTTTGTGAAAAGCAAGGTTGACTTCCTATTTCCCTGTCCCACACGGAGGGTCTCAGCTGCCAACGAGCCACTCTGGCACCAAGCTGGGGATGGGAAATTAAGCCAAGGCCTAACCTTTAGTTCTACCCTTGGACAATATTTCAGTGCTGGGCTATAAATATTTGATCTGTTGCTCTTGTGAGCGGAATGGGCTTGTTGTGCTCATCTGCAGGGTTATCAATTATTCCAAAGTGTATTTATTGCTGATTAAATGACTTGAAAATGCCTTTCCCTGCAGTTATTGTGTGATATTTAGCAAGTAAACACGGAAATTAACTCTCCCAGGGTCAATATTAACCCTTTTTCTTGGGAAGGAAACACTCCCTGCCTGACAACACATAGCACTAAGCACCAAGTAAGATATTGGGAGACCAGTTAATTCTATATAATTATATTTCTTTATGTTTTGGGGTCACAGTCTGTGCTAAGATCTGGCTTCCATTTGCAATCGCTGAATAAATAAACCAGCATCTTTAAATCATCAGCAAAGAATGATTCAGGGGCTTGAAAGAGGGTTGTAAAAACCTCTCTGCACCACAAAATAGATGAATCTCCACCCATGACTCACAGGCACCAGCAGGATGGTTCTCCAGAAGGACGAGGAGCTTTGGTGAAGTTTGTTTGAATATTGGCTCTCCAGCAACTCTTTGTGCTGCTTGTTAAAGGTGGGGACACCGGGAGAGTGGGAATATCTGCCTTTGGGTCAGGTCCTTGGTGCTCCTGGGCTGGTGGGAAGCGACATCACCGACCAGGGCCGAAATCTGAAAGGTCCCAACTCCCTCCCTGCCGAGTGCCTGTGTCCCCAGAGTCCCCTGGTGAGTAATGTCCCTCCCCATCGCCGTTCCTCAGGTGTGTTTATCATCCTGTGCCCAGCCACGGTGTCATTTCACAGCCGAGTGACACTTGAGGCAGCACATCCCTGCCGGCAGGCTCAGCTCATTTCGTGCTAATTGCTCTCCAAAATTGGGTGATGCAGTTTGGACATAAAAACCATTTTCAACAGCGTCATTAATTCGGGGGACATTTCCTGGAGTAATTACAGCCCTCATCCTCAGTCATTCCCAATTATTCCGTGCAGCCCCACCCAAACACACTTCAGGGTTGATTAGCAGGACGTGTGTTACCCCACTCCACGCTCAAGCGGGAGAAATGGGGCTCTTTAGGAGAAAGTAAATATTACCTGTTGTGTCCAATGATCCAAAATCCTTCATTATCTGCTCCCAAACACTTAGCAAACCTATTACTTAATTTATTTGATGGCACAAATGTTGTTAACTGGGGCTGGTGTGGGATGACAAAACGTCATGGGATGCTTTAATGATCTGTTTGATGTGCTGCTTTGTTCTAGAATGATTGTTTACGGCTCAAAGAAAAGGAAGAACCAGTTTTGACAAGAAATTCAGGGAAAAGACAGCAGGTCTGAGTGATAAAAGTGCTCATCCAATCTTCCAGCCACAGGAAGATCCCAGGAATTTACTAGGAATTTCATCAGGAAGTGGAGTGTCAGGCCAAGGGGGAATGGCTTCCCACTGCCAGAGGGCAGGGTTAAATGGGATTTTGGGAAGGAATCCTACCCTGTGAGGGTGAGGAGGCCCTGGGCTGGTGGAAGGTGTCCCTGCCCATGGCAGGAGGTGGCACTGGGTGGGCTTTGAGGTCCCTTCCAACCCAAACCCTTCCAGGATTCTATGACAGTGACCCCATCTCTTGGTGGGAATCTGGGAGAGAAAGAGGTGGTAGATCCTAAAGTTTGAAAACATCTGCCTGTTCCTCTGTGCTGTGGCCAAGCAAGCTTTTATCTTTGGTTTGGTTTTGTCTTTGGGGTTTTTTTTCCCCTTCCAGAGGAACATGGCTGCTCTCAATGCATTTTTCCACGCTCCTGGAGCACCCTCTCCTGTCCAAGGAGCCGCAATTCCCATCTCTGTGTCCCAGCAACACAGAGACCTTTAAACCACGGGATCAGCCCACACATTGAGCAGGAACCTGGACAGGTTTCCTCAGGTGTGTCAGCGTTAGCTCACCTGAGCTCGCCCTGCACAGCTGGAACCTGGATACCGAGCGTGTGAGTCACAACCTGGAGCAAATAAAGGATTATTTACGTCAGACTGAGCTCTCAACACCCTGTCAGAGCCCTTTTGTAGTCCCGCTCCACTGGATCCCAAATCCTAATTTCAACAGTGTTTTGAGTGCATTTTTTAACCTTTTTTTTTTTTTTTTTTTCCCAGTCACACCCCGTGTACCTGAGGTAACAAACACCCAGGTTATGACACTAAATCGAGGGGCAGCGCTGCAGGTCTGATGAATCCATGAAGGGGGCTGTTTGCACCCCAGGGGAGGTATCTGGCCTGGAGAAACCCCACGGAAATCAGCCCACTGTGTCCAGGGGCAGGTCCCCCCAGTCCTGGGGGACACCAAACCCCCCACAGGCTGTGGGCAGAACGCCTGGGCCAGGGACACAGGGGCGTGTGGAGGTTCAGGGCAGCGCCCGGGGGGGACAAGGAATGGGCTTGGGGTCCCCCACGTCTCCACACCCAGGGGGGACAGGAATGGCCCTGGGGTCCCCCACGTCTCCACACCCAGGGGTGTTCAAGCAGGACCTGGGGACCCCAAATGGCCCCGAGGTCCTCCTGCCCCTCAGGGACACTACCGAGAGGGAGCCAGAGCGGCCCTGCCAGGGGCGCTCCGCCCAGAGCATCTCTATGATCCCCGCGCCGGGTGTCTATGGCCGGGCGCTGGAGGACCGAGAGGTGACGTCAGCGGGGTGGCGCTGTCTCCGCCGGGGGCGGTTCCGGCAGCGGGGGGCGGCGCTCTGGCCGCGCAGCTCCGTGTGCCGGCGGGGCTGGGCGGGCGCGCCTCTCTATGGTGGTGGCGCGGCGCTCTGGCCCGCGCTCGGTGGTGTGGGCGGGGCCGAGGCCGCCATGGCCGCCATGGCCGGCGCGGGGCCGGGCCCGGCCGAGGGGCCGTGTGTGCTGTGCTGCGGGGAGCTGGACGTGCTGGCGCTCGGCCGCTGCGAGCACCCCATCTGCTACCGCTGCTCCGTGCGGATGCGGGCGCTCTGCGGCGTCCGCTACTGCGCCGTGTGCCGAGAGGAGCTGCGGCAGGTGAGGCCGGGGGAGGGGAGCGGGGGGGGCCTCGGCCGGGCTGGGCCGCGCTCGGAGCACGGGGAGCTCGGGAAAGGGACGGAGCCCCGGGGTATCCGCCCTCCGCGCCGCTCCGGCGGGCGAGAGGCGAAATAATGAGAAAAGGGAGTTTAAAGGGAATATTTTTTTGGTTTTAAGTCAGCAGGGCTCGCTCTGCCAGCCTTTGCTCCCTGCCCCGGGAAGCGGCTGCTCTTAGGAGGGCTCGAGGAATCCTGGAATGGTTTGGGTTGGAAGGGACCTTAAAGTCCACCCAGTGCCACCCCCTGCCACGGGCAGGGATACCTTCCACTGTCCCAGGTTCCTCCAAGCCCTGTCCAACCTGGCCTTGGACACTCCCAGGGATGGGGCAGCCACACCTTCTCTGGGCAATCCGTTTCTGGATTTGTAACGTAGTTCCTACTGTAAGAACTGAAATTCTTCTTGTATTTGTGTGTCTCAGTCTCTCTGGGCTCCAGGTTTCCCTGTGATCCCCCAGGAAATGGGGAGGAGCCGAGTGCAGGGCCCCTGGCAGGCATTCCCTGCGGGAAGGCTTCCCTTGGTTGAGGGTATTTACTCTCGGCACAGCTGTGGGAGCAAAACACACCAGAAACGTTTCCTAATCTCGTTCAAAATCCAAAGGCCGGGCTGGTCCAATCCACGTTTCCCAGGCAGCTGATAAGGACGAGTCCCAGTGGCTTTGGTGACAGAGCCTGGGGATGGTGACAGCTGGGGCTGGCACTGGGCTCTGCGGGCAGCAGATCCTGGAGCTTGCCTGGGATCCCAGAGCCCAGAGTTTGCCTGCAATCCCAGGATCCCTGCAGGCTCCCTGGGGTGGCAGAGCCCCTGCTGATCCCTGTGTTGTGTCCCCAGGTGGTGTTTGGGAGGAAGCTCCCGCCCTTCTCCTCCATAGCCCTCCACCAGCTGCAGCATGAGAAGAAATACGACATTTATTTCATGGATGGGGAGGTCTATGCCCTGTACAGGTGAGCTCTGGCCCCTCTCTGGGACGTGGCAGGAGGTGTTTGGGAGGGCAGGGTGCTGTGGTTTCCTGGGAATGGAGGTGCTGGCCATGTGAGTCACCTGCTGGGCACGTGTTTGGGCAGGTGAGAGGCCGGAGCAGGGCAGTGCAGGGAACACTCACAGCCCCTCAAGGCTGGAGTGCTGCAGCACAGAAGCTTTGCTCTGTCAACAAAAGTAATTTTTTTGCACATTTAGCAGCAGCAAACTCGCTGAAAACCTTTCCGTTCCTTGCGTGGCTGCTGTGGAAATTGGTGAAGACATAATTGCAATTAATTGTATATTAATATATGCAGGTGTCAATAAAATCAGCCAGTGCTCTGGCAGAGTTGGAAACCCCTGTGGGATGGACTTCTTTGTGGTGTTTTTTCCCCTTCCTTTTGTGTTACAGTTCTTCATCCCTCCCCTCTATATTCCTCAGTTTCTGACAGTGGAAGGTGTAATGAAACTGGGTGTGAATGCTGCAGGATCCAGCTGGATCTGCAGGAAGCACAGGGTTTGTTCCAGTCCCCTCAGTTTTGGGGACAGTGTCACTCTTACACTGCTCAGCTCCTTTCCTGCACTTGAAACCTCGGTGTCATTTGATTCCCTCCCATTCCTGACACAGGACAAAATTCTTGGAATAAGCAGGACTCAAACCTCGTTACAGATTGCTGGGAGGCCCATAAAGCTGGAACCTTCTGCCAGGGCCGGGATGTTTGTGTTCTGACGGAGGTCTGGGGGTGCTGGGGGATAACTGGCTCATTTCTGGGAGCTCTCTCCTCCCTCAGGAAGCTGCTGCAGCACGAGTGCTCCTTGTGCCCTGACGCCAAGCCCTTCAACACCTTTGCAGACCTGGAGCAGCACATGAGGAAGCAACACGAGCTCTTCTGCTGCAAACTCTGTGTCAAACACCTGAAGGTGAGCTGGGCCTCTGCTGGGATGTGTGGGGAGGAGGAGGCTTTCCCTCTGTGCCTTCCCAGAGTACCTGGGGAGCTGGGAAGAAGGAGGTGGCTGAACAGCAGTTATTTTGGTTTCCTCTGCCTGCCTGCAGCGAGACCAGTTGCTTTATTTGAAGTCTTTCTCTTTCCATAAACTGATTACTGAAGGAGGGCTGGAGGTTCTCCAGATTTTAAATTAAACCCCACGGTGGTGGTGCCACAGTTGGTGTGTGCCAGGTGAGCCGGAGTTTGCTGCCAGAAGGGATGGGATCCAGAAGGGAGCAGGTTGACCTGAGTGAACCCTGTAAGACTGGGAACAGATTTGAGTCTTTCCTGTGCTTGTGCAGTCCCTGGAGCTGAGGGAAGGGAGCGGGGAGGGAGGGCAGGACCCCAGTGAGGCATTTCATGGTCAGCACAGCCAGCACTGAGAGAACTTTTTTGTCATTTTCTCTCCCAGAGAATTCACAGACAATATTAAAACTGTTGCTTTTTGACTTCAGAATGCTATAGAGATTTTTGTTTCCCAGGAAAAAAAAAATCCCTTATTCCAAAGAGTCACTTGTACCCACAGAAAAGAAGCTCTTAAACTTGCAGAAGCTTCGGTCCATCAGCTCTGGCAAAGCTAAACAAACCTTTTCCCAGAGCAAGTTCACAGGCCTTGTCTAGGCCAGAAATAAAGGATATTCTGTTGTCAAGGCTGGGCCGATCCTTTTGGCATCTCCAGAACCTTCCTACCAAAATAGCTCACGTGTTACTGGGGACAGAGGGTTGGCTTGTGATGCAGAATTTTTTCATTGAAGTGTCTACTCCGTAGCTATTTTGGGTGGTTGCTGTCTGAGGAAAGTAAAACAGCTCACTGAGGGTTTATGGGGCTTTTTAATTCGAGTATGCAAAATACTGTGTGCTCATAAATGCATACTTAGGATTTTCCTCCCCCTGAGATGATAAAGTTTGTTGCCATATCAAAAAAAAAAAAATGAAAGGGGGGAAAAAAAAGTTAATTAGATCTGTTTCCAGTGTTCGAAGGGAGAGAAATTCAAGTTGGATTTAATTTGGATCCGCCACTTGAATTGGAATCAGCAACCATTTGAGGTGTCGGTGGTCAAGCTTTTCGAAGCAAGCCTTAACTCCTCAGAGGGACAAGGTGGGCACAACCCCGGCTCATCCCTGTTCCCTGTCCACGAGGAGTGACACGCCCTGTGTGTCTGTCCCCGGTGCAGATTTTCACCTCCGAAAGGAAGTGGTATTCCCGCAAGGACCTGGCCCGGCACCGCATCCACGGGGACCCCGACGACACCTCCCACCGGGGGCACCCCCTGTGCAAGTTCTGCGACGAGCGGTACCTGGACAACGACGAGCTGCTGAAGCACCTGCGCAGGGATCACTACTTCTGCCACTTCTGCGACTCTGATGGTGCTCAGGAGTACTACAGGTGGGGCCAGGAGGGTTATTTGTGCGAGTTCTTTCCGGGCCTTGAACTGCCTGGGTCTG